CCGCCAGCCCCTGCTGCGCTGCTCTCCAGCCGGGCTGGCTGCTTGAGCTCTGGGGAGTCGCATTTGATCAGGTTTAAGCAATGCCAAGGCTGTGACACAAACCAGCAGGAAATTAAAAATTAAGGGTGAAATCCTAGATTGTAATTGAACTGCCCCCTGCTTCTCCAAAATACGGCATAGACCCGGGATCAATAAATGGTGCTGTGTTACACAGCTATACATGCTGCATCACCTAGGCAAGCCTCAGACTTAAAGAGAGTAGCAATAGACATTTAAACTCCACCTTTACATTTCCCAGTAACCACAGGTAGGGCCCATATTAGGGTTTGGGGGTGAGGAGAGGGGGAAGAAAAAAGCAAAAGCAACCAAAACGCATAGAAGAAATAGTAGTGGAAGACTCCGCTTCTGTACTACAAAACATTACTATGTGTGAAATACCAAAACGGAATGAGGTGAGGTTTGAGAAACACAGTGGGTGCTTCATGGGAGACCACGTAGTCAAGAATATCTTGGGTATATAACCACGATACTTCTTGGGCATCTCTATAAGACACTATACAGTGAAGACATTTAAATGGCATTTTGTACTGGGGAGGGCAAACGGACTAGCTCTTAAACCAAACAAAAAGGCACAAATCACTACACGTCGCCAGCATGATAATACTTCCCTGATGTTTAAACCCTGGAATAGCATTTTATTGGGAAGGATGAGTCAGTCATGGACTTCACTCTTGTTTCTTCCTTTACTTCCAACATTTCTGCCTCACTCACCAACTTGGATATTCTGGATTGAATGTGTAGAAAAAATTTTACCATCCCTGGCTGCTCATTAACATGTCCCAAAGCTTCCAGCTGGACCTACAGTGCTGGGAGCCCTGGCAAAATCTCCTTGAGGTGGAGTCTGAACTCCTTCCCACTCCTTGCATAGAGCTAGTTGTGCTCTGACACCAAGAAAAAGGGTATCAGCTGAGTCCATGCTGGGCATCAGAGTCAAATGACTAATCAAACCACAAGCCTGACAAGATGACAATTTCTACTGGATTTTCAAGTTGTACATATTTGTTCAAATAGCAAACAAGACTAAGGTGATGCGATTTAACTATTTACAACGCCCTTTTTAAAGGAAAAACCAAACCCATTCTTTACCCACAAACTGTATTATCTGCAAGATAACTACAAATACTTAAGACCAAAGCCCTTACTATACACTGTCCTGTAAGTAGCCAAAAACAGGGACCAAGTTTTCTTCTGTCTTTCTCCTCCTTCCTTATATTCTCCTGTGTAGCACCTCACACTGACTGTGCTTTAGGAAGATGGAAAGTAAGAAAGGGTGAAAAATACATAATTTACGTTGGTGTCCTTCAAAAGAATGGTCCCCACTGCCAAGTCCAGGATCTTTTATGGAACCACCATAAGGACTATTGTCCCTAGGGCCTTCAACTGTGACACAACGGTGTAAGGATGCTAGAAGCGGCCGTGTTGCAAGGGCTCAAGCTAACTTGTTTCATCAGCAGATTAGGAAGGGTAGCTGGCTAGCCTATGACCTCCTGAAGCTATGCGACTAAGTGAGGGAGGCCCGGAAGGCTACAGTGATTTGTTTTGTGGTTTTCTCACAGCAAAACACCTCTTGGGCTCAGAACTTCAGTGTCAAGACTCATCTCAAACACGCTTTTTCTGTTGATGTTGTTATTGCCTGAAAAATTATCAGCACTTGAAAAAACAATGCTCAGAACTGTAACCGCAGCAGTTGAGCTGGCACAGACACACTGGAAAGCAACCTGAGGCACTCTAGAAAAGTACCTATGTCCTGCATTACTAGCGAAACAGAATTAATAATACATGAGCGTGTGTTTTGCTAGCAAGAGAAGGATGAAGGACAGCTTTTCAGCTAGCAGCTCAGCAACTGCACTGGGGAGATGGAAGGAAGGAAGCTCTGAAGTTGGTTTTGATTTATGCCCTGTGAAACCTCCTGTACTTTGTGCGTGTGTTTATTTCACACAGGCTACAACCTTCTGGACTATTTCACTTGATTTTATGTAATAAAGTGTCATTTATACCTTCGTGTGTTGTTTAGATCGTGCTATATAAAGATATAATATGGCAGTAAGTATATCAAACACAGACATACAGAGAACGTGAGGGGGTTGTTTGGCTTTTTTAGTGCCAACATGGCCTTATTCAGCCATCTACGTAATTCAGCCTAGCTCACTGTTTTAACTAACACAAACACAGGGTTGCAGTTCTCCACTCTCCCCATCTTCCTCGTCCACATCCCAGGAGGTCTCAGTGGCCACCAGGGCATGACAAGACAGGTTATGAAGACAAGGCTACGCTATTGCCTGCTGCTCTGAATGAGCCTAAATCCTGTCAAGTGCTTCTGCCACGTAAACCTCTATTTTTCCAGATGGAAAAACAGGGGGGCAGGAGGGAAGTAGAAAAGGCAAGCTTGTGCCCAGCTAGATCTAGCTGCATTTTTTTTCAGTTAACTTAGTTTCTTCTTTTCATTTCAAAAGAATTATGAAATGCTACTGCTGTCCAAAAATACTGAACTAGGGCTTGACATATGTACCACCCACAAAGTTACATTTGGACTCAGGATCAGCATTTTGGAAAACCGGGCCAAATCGCACCGGGAGCCAAAAGAGATGTCAGGACGAAAGAAGTAGGACTGACATGATGTTACTCATATGCTAACTGGAATCTGCTCTAAATACATGGTGAAAAAAATCACCAGAAGCTGCTAAATGCACAAGACAATCTACAGAAGTTGTTTCCTACAGTACTGAGGTCATTAGCAGTGCTTTAGGCACTCTTTAAATAAAAGATTATCAAAGTTACCTGCATATCGCTGGGTCAGAACTCGAAAAACTGGTCAGCTCCCAAATACAGATTTCAGAGCCAAAATCCTAGATAATTTCTTACATGTGTTATGCATTCTCCTGGCATATAATTTGTTCTTAAAATTGGCCTTCTGAAAGCACATACAAATTCACGTAAGAATAGAAGTTGCTGATGACCAAAAAAAAAAAATTTTAAAAAAATCCACATTACATTTTCTTTTACAGCAAACTGTGTAAGGTTACTGGTCATGAAAAGTATTGCGTTGGCATCCCCAGGCACAACAGATGGTGGCAAAAACACAATCTACCCTGACCTGGAAGGCTCAGTTCTGTGAACAACAGGGGAATCCAGATTCTGTGATCTGTTTTTCCATAGCATTTGGCTTTAGAAAGTTTGTCCATATTTCACATCTCTGCTAGTGACACCTGATAGTAAACTGAAAATTAAACCTGAGGAAGAGCAAAAAGAATCATCAAAGGGCTTTAGCTTGAAACGGAGCAAAACCCACTTGTGGCAAGCAAGCAAGCAAAAGCACTATGGCTTCAGAAATGTCCTAATTCATACTGAGTACAAGGATGAAGGTTCTCCTTTGAGACAGGTTTGTGGATGCAGTGTACTTGTAGCACAGCTTTGCTACCACTCTGTAAAAAACCCAAACCCCAAACCCAGAACCACCTCCAAACACCCCCCACCTCCCAACCATCCTGCTCCCCAACAAACCACCCCAGCTAACCAACCAACCTCCCATTCCCCAAGCTCAACTTTCCTTGGTCATATCAATAGAAAACCAGATTTTAAACCTTGAGCAACACAAAACTTGATAGAAACATTTTTTTCCCCTCCCACACAAGGAGTCAGTGGATTGGAGCTAACCCTTTGGTTAACAGAGCTTAAATCACCAGCACAAAAGGAACTGTTTATCTGTACGGTTTATTGAACTACAGGCATCAAACCAGTATAAATGCGTGCTTACTACCAAGAATAAAAGATGTGTAGTGCAGGTTAGGCACAGAGACACTGAAAATTATGCAATTTATGTCTTGATCCAGCCATAATTTTTAAAAAATGTCCTTACACATAT